CTGCAGGAGAATAAAATCTGGCCGATCGTCTCTGCTTTGGAAATGGTCTCCGGATTTTAAAGGCGAACTATGGGGTTAAGTCTTTTCCCCATAGTTCTCCTTAGGGTAACGGGGGGACACAAACTAGCGTCCTCCCGTCACCCTAGGCTACAGCTCGCGGTATACTGAGACGTCGCAGCTGAAGCGGATCCCGACAATTGTGCCGGGATCCGCCCAGCTGCGTGAGTGACAGCTGGCTCTGCCTATCTAGAGGCAGAGCCAGCTGTACCCGCCCCCTCCCCCGTCCATTCCGCCAGTCAGCGCTGGAGGATCGGAGCGGGGAGGGAGGAATCCAGTCCCTACCCTGTCATGGCAGAGAGCCGTGACAGGATCGAGAAGTGAGCGAGCGCCGGTATGTGTTCGGTCAACCCCCGATCTACTGAGCCGACCTGTGACAGTCTCATTGTCACAGGTCGGCTAGAACTATGAGGTGAGTGAAAAGCACCCCCCTCATAGTTCTCCTTTAAGTGTTTAAACTGCCGGGAAATGTTTTAATTCTGTTCAGGCGATCTTCAGATTCTCAACACTTCATCCATGCTGTGCAGCCAGGATGGGGACACCGTCATTTATTACTGCAGCTCTGTATTTTTTTATGTCACTTTCCCGGCTGCCTATTGGACTATCCAATAGGAAACATATAGGAAGCCTACATATAGGAAGCCTATTGAAACATAGACTATCGTCTTTGTTTCATCCCGTCCTATAGGAATTCCCCCTTCCCTCTAATCATGTAAGATTGACAGCACTGTGCAATTCAGAACAATTTGATTGGCTGTTGGGGTGTCACCTTTCCATCTAGTCATTGATGAACAGTGGACCTGTTCATAACATATATGTGTGTAACCTGTGGGGTTCTCCTAAAAAACAAAGCACAGCACCCCCGGCTGTCACAGAGCTCCGATGATTACACAGGGAGAACCGCGTCCTCCTGATATACAGAGCACAGCGCCCGGCTGTCACAGAGCTCTGATGATTACACAGGGAGAACCGCGTCCTCCTGATATACAGAGCAGAGCTCCCGGCTGTCACAGAGCTCCGATGATTACACAGGGAGAGCCACGTCCTCCTGATATACAGAGCACAGCGCCCGGCTGTCACAGAGCTCTGATGATTACACAGGGAGAACCGCGTCCTCCTGATATACAGAGCACAGCGCCCGGCTGTCGCAGAGCTCCAATGATTACACAGGGAGATCCGCGTACTCCTGATACACAGAGCACAGTGCCCGGCTGTCACAGAGCTCCAATGATTACACAGGGAGATCCGCGCCCCCGGCTGTCACAGGGAGAGCTGCGTTCTGCTCTGCATGCGTTTATATATGATAGCTGCTGTTGGAGGTTTCATTGTGAATTTTTTCATAAATTATCCTGTACATTTCCCCAAAAATCATAAAAAGAAAACCTTTAGCTCCTAATTAACCCTCAGTGAGCCAGAATTCATTTTTATTACCTCCTTCTTTCCCGTCTTCCCTGACCAGTTTTTGCTGATTTTTTTTCTTTTTAACGTCTACATCTAAACGTTTCACATTTGCGTTTCTTTGTAGCTCCGGATTAATAATAAAAGAAAAATGCGCCAGAAACCCAATTCCCGAGCGTTTAGAAAATGGACAAATCTCCGAATAAAATGTGTCATAAACCCGAATCAGCTTTTCTGTTTTACCGGAACATTTGTAGCAGAAATTGTAACAAAGGATTTGTTATTATTTGTAACAATTCCGAAAATTCTCTAGTTTGATCTTTTTTATTGTTTCTATATAAATGTTTCATATGAGTTCATTTCTGTGATGCCAAATGAAATAGCTGTGGGGGAGGGGGAAGGGGTTTCTACATCGGAGGGCACTGTGTGTACAGCAATCAGGTGACCGACGCGCTTTCAGCAGTTTCCGCGGAACGCGTTGTAATAAATCATTCCTCAATGACTCATAACGTGGCTCTTGTATTAGAGAGGAGGAGGAAGAGGAGGTGGAGGAGGAGGAGAGGGACACATTGGGATGAGTAACATGGTGGACGCTGGTAAAAGGGGGATCGATCCCATTTATCCCACTACATTTTGCAGTGGCGTCACAAGGGGGGTGCGGCCCGCACCCGGGTGACACCATTGGAGGGGTGACACCAAAATGACTTGCAGTCATTTTGGTGTCACCCCCCTCTGAAAAGTCGGGCGCTCGGTCATGGACCGGATGCCCGACAGTATAAGGCGAGAGGAGGGGACCCGGCGGCATACCTTATCCTGCCGGGTGGCTGTTTCCTCCTCTCTCTGCCGGCGTCCATCACCAAGATGGCCACCGGCAGGTATCAGAATACTTCCGCGCGTGCAAGATGACGTCATCGCGCACACGCGTGGTGACGTCACGCGCATGCGCGGTGACGTCTCGGAGGGGTGACACTCGGAGATCCCCCACTTCCTGTGGGGTCACCAAGGCAGGAAGTGCAGATAAATCTCTGGAACACAGGATGGGGTTTTAATCCTTCCCTACTCTATCCAAAGCGAGAACTCCAGCAGCATATTTTGTAGGGGGAGGGGGGGCGGATGGGTGTATAGGGGAGTCACAATACCCCCTGTAGATCCAATCACACGGATCCGTCCCTCAGCAGACGGCGGAGTGGGGATCACGCTGCGTCTTCGGCCTGATTAGAATTCTCTGATTACGGTCAGTGACAGGCGGAGGACCCGGCCTGGAGGGGGCACAGCGCGAGTGCCAGGTGTCACCCTGCCAAGTGTCATAGCTTCCTGTTAGAGGACATTAGAAGAAAACGTCGTATCAATCGTTTCCTAAGAGGACTTCAGCAGGAAATCCATCTCTAATTAAAGAGATCATTATGGGAAGTGCAGGGTCGGGGGTGGGGTGATGGAGGGGACGGGGCAGCATCACATTTCACTGGTTCCTTTGCTTCCAGGGCAGGCTGAGGAGATGAGAGAGGGAATCCGGAGACGCGGACGCAAAGCAAATCCACACAAGCACATAAAGAACATGTACTAATGAAAGCCAGGATTCATAAAAACTCTGTGCAGCTTAGAGAGAAATAAATCCAGGGCCCATACAAATTTCATGCTGCTTTCTGAGAAATAAGCCCTGTGCTCACAAAAACTCCATGCGGCTAGTTTGCATTCAAACCCAGGACCCAAACCCCATGCAACTAGTATCTCTGGTGAAAATCAAAACTTTGGACCTATAAAAGTCCATTGTAATTTTTAATGTCATTGTGTAATACCGATCTATGGCCACTAGATGGAGCTGAGGAGCATAAATAGGAAGTATTTATTTCCTATGCTCCTCAGCTCCACCTAGTGGCTATAATTCAGCATTACACAATGACATTCAATATTAGATGGAGCCGAGGCTCATAGGAAATAAATACTTCCTATCTACGCTCCTCAGCTCCTTCTAGTGGCCATAATGAGGTATTACATGATGACATTCAAAATGACACGGCGCTAGAATTCAGGGGTCTCAAACCTCTGGCCCTCCAGCCGTGGTGGAACTACAAATCCCATGAGGCATTGCAAGATTCTCACAGCCGCAGACATGACTCCTGAAGAGAGATGCATCATGGGAATTGTAGTTTCACCACAGCTGGAGGGCCGGAGGTTTGAGACCCCTGCGCATAGGAAATAAATACTTCTGCTCCTGTGCTCCTCAGCTCCACCTAGTGGCCATAATGAGCCATTTTACATATAGGGCATTCAAATTGGAAAGAACATATGCTAAGAACATTCGTTTTGGGCTCCACTGGCACAGAATGAACATTTCCCCCGGGGGCGAACGGCCCAGCAGATGGTTTATAAACACATTCCATAGCATGCAGAAACATTGTTACAAGTTATGCACCCGTACTGACTACCCTGTAACCATCCGCTGGACAAACTGTATACAATGTGTAGCTCTAGGCTTCCAAGAGGTGGAGATAATCACAAGTAGAATGGCGGAAGGTTTTCATGATACGTTTCTCAGCTCCTAGGTCAGCTTCATCAGAATAGTATGGGAGCGTATGAAGGAAAGATAGAGAGATCACATTAGAATACATATATACAGATCACATATACAGGTCATACATGTGACCATGGAAATGGATCGCAGTGTCACCTACATATAGCACCGTGTCACGCCATAGCATACATGTGCCCCTAGGCAGACTGCAGGGGAGATTGAACGATGTGCCAGAGCCACGAGTATCTACAATCAATCACAGAGCAGATTTAATCCAAGGCCCCCCCACCATATCAAAAATTCGTTTGGCGGTCAAGGCTTTTCCGAGACACTCAATGAAAGTACTTCAATCCGACTTCTATATCATCCGCTGCAGCAGATTGCGGAGAGCTCCGCGGTATTCTCTAAGACCTCTCGGTTTCAGCTCCGCTGGCTGCACAGCTCAGGGCTCATCGGCTTTCCACACCTCACTCTTAGTATGTATATATGCTGGCTACATTTGCATATAGGGGGCGGAGCACATCAATGTGCAGAACGGTGTGGCCCCTCCCAGTTCTCCCTTCTCATTTTTAATGATCACTTAGCTCCGCCTTCATCACCTCCCACTAATGCCGAGGGACAGGCAAGATGGAAGACGAATAATAATAAAGATAATACAAAAGGTAACGCAGATCGGCCGGCACTGAATGCACAATTCTTCAATTGCAATTTTGTTTGGATAAAAAACATAATCATACAACCGCTGTGTCGTGGTGGCAAGATGAAGCCCTGAGCAGGTAGGCTGTGCAGTCAGGGGGAGGAGCCTCCAGGCTGGGGGCCCCCTGAACACAGGGCTCGGAGATAGCTGCTCCCTCTGCAACAAGTCTTATTGTAGATGTGTGTGTGGGGGGGGGGCGGGGACGACGACTTGGACGGTGGGGTGAGAGAACCGACAACCTTCAGATAATTGTTTTATGAATAAAAGGAAACAAAGATTCTTCCGTCATGTGATTTCCTCCGCAGAGAACTCATCTCCATCTTTTATCTCTTTCAGTCGCGCAACAGCCTCCAGCAAGGCGACGTGGACGGAGCCCTGAGACTGGGCCGAGTGGCCAAACTACTGAGCATCGTGGCCCTGGTGGGCGGAATCCTGATTATCACTGTGTCCTGCGTCATCAACTTCGGCGGAAGTAAGTGATACAAAGATCATAATGTGACCCTAAAGAGAGAGGGAGGGAGAGATGGGAGAGAGAGAGAGGGAGGGAGAGAGAGAGGAGAGAGAGGGGGGATAGGGAGAGTGAGGGATAGAGAGAGAGAGAGAGAGGAGAGAGAGGGGGGATAGAGAGAGGGAGGGATAGAGAGAGGGGGGGGAGAGAAGGGGAGAGAGAGAATAGATAGATAGAAGATAGATAGAGTGATAAGATACAGTAGGTAGATAAATAGACATTGTTGGCGCTCTCTCTGAGTCTTGTTAGGCGGGCGAGCGCGCTCCCGCTGGGCGATGTCACGTCAGAGTTCCAGTGGAGCGTGGTGGAGGGTTGGCGGCGTGTCGGGAGTCAGTGAAGTGTGACAGATATATAGACACACAGGACCCGCTCTCGCTCTCTCTCTTTCTCTTGTTATTTCTGTGCCAATTAGTCTCCATTTATTCTGTAGTAAATCCTCTGTTATTACTAAATCGCTTTCCATCTCCTGTCACTTCTTCACCTGAGCTGGTGACACCCCCCCCCCCCC